AAAATATTAAAGCCTCTCTCAAGCACAGTATGAATTGGTCAAAAGCCTCCATTATCATTTTACCTATGGGAAGTGCAGTTTTATGATTTTAAAGAACATCGCAGGGACTCAAGTTAGTTAAGGAAATGCCTTACAGATTGTAGTGGGAAGCTCTTTTAATGAATTCATAAATATTTTTCCAATTATTTCTAATCAAAATATATGTAGTATTGCTAACAAGTCTACTCTTAAATAGCTTGTGGACATTGGGTCTTGCTTACGTTCTCCTCTGCGTGTAGAGGAACTATATGTTGAGGGTCTTCTGTGTGTCATAATGCTTAAAGAAATGGCGTTTCCACACACAGGTAGAATTTTTCAATAAGCGCAATTTATTCACTAGGTCTACAGCATATTCAGGATCAAAGGCCCAACACTGTCATTCAAATCCTCCATGAACAGGGTCATCCTGCTCCGCCAGCTTCATCTCTCATCACCTCACCTCCTAGAGGGCAGGGTGTGAAGCCCTCACAGGCCCCTCGATGTTCCAGGGCCCCTTGTGAGCCTGTACCTTGGAACAGGTTGTCCCTCTGCCCCGAGTGCCTTCCTCACTGGAACGGCCGCCACCCTGCCTCCCAGAGTGTTCATTGTCCTTAGGCTGCGGCAGGGCCTCTGCGGAAGCGCTAACGGTCCTCTATGCCAGGGGGCCCAGCTCATAGCTGTGCACTGCTCTCTAGCAGACTACTGTCAGACAAGGGCTAAAGCCAGAGCTGCAAGGAAATAGGATTTGTTTGGATCAAGTGGAACCTGCGAAACTGTTTTGGAATTCACAAATGCAGAACTAGCCAGTATTTCTCCAGTGCTGCCAGATAAGCGTTGAATACTGGGAAGTCACGGCTTATTCTACCCCCCAAAACGTCAGCTGGGTTATCTGAGAAAGGGATCTCATCTAATTTACTTCCAGGAAAGGAGCTAAGTACTGAGAATTGGTCATTTTAGTAACTGGGAACTTTGATACTGAATTTCATATGTTGGTTGGTGCCCGCCACATTTTTCATTTGATATGGGGGCTCGTGCCCTCCATGAAATACTTCATGGGGCTTTAGAGATAGCACTCTTTTTTTGTTATTCTACCCCTTTGGCTACTCCTTCCCGGTGTCCTTTGCTCATCTTTCTCACCTTCCTGACCTCCAAATTTTGGAGTGTCCCAGAACTCTCTTGTCAAATATCTAGGTGTTTTGTTTTTTTTTTCCTATTTAACTTACTCCCTTAGTGAGTTCTCCTGTCCTATGGCTCTAAATAATCCTCTGAATAGTGATGACTCTGTATTTATATCTCATATGTCTCCAGTCCTGACTGAATCTCTCCTAAACATCAGGCCCATTTACCCAGCTTCCCCTCAGCGACTGCACAAGCTATGCTTAACAGGTCCAAAACTGAGCTCCAGAAGACAGCTCCCCAGCCTGCTCTTCCTTCGTCCTCACTATTGCTGAGGTAAATAGCAACTGTATCCTTGCATTTCCTCAGGTCAAAAACTCATTGTCAAGTCAAAAGTCATTCTTGACTCTGTCTTCCACATCTATAATGCAAAGCCCATCATCCAGAGTATATCTCGTCTCTCACTCTGGCTCATGACTATTTCTGCCATCCTGGTCCAAGTCACCACTTTCTATTGTCTGGAAAATTGTAATGGCTTCCTAATCAGTCTTCTGGCTTCCATCTCCATCACCTTATGTTTTATTCTCAGTGTAGCAGTCAGAATAATTCTTTTGAAACCTAAGTCATGTTTGCTCAAAACTGTCCAATGGCTTCCCATCTCACCGAATAAAATGTAGTCTTCAGCATGCCCCGTGGGCTCTCTACTTGCCCGGGGTAGTTCTCTGACAGCACCCCCCCACCCCGCCCGTTCATGCTCATCTCTGGCAATACTAGCCTCCTCGTTGTTCCTCGTTCTCCTTTCTCTGGATTTGTGCACCTTCTACTCCTTCTGCATGGAATTCTGTACTCAGATATTCATATGGCATATTCTCCTCCTCCATTCCAGTATCTGCTGAAATGTCCCCTCCTCAGGGAGACCTTCTTCACCTGAAATATTGTAGCCCACACCATCACTCCATTTCCCCTTATCTTGTCTTACTTATTATTTTAGTACTTATTCTTGTACTTTATATATGCCTTCCTTGTTTATTTGCTGCCTACTTACTACCTCTCTGCTAGAATTTAAACATTTTTATGAAAGCATGAGTGGTTTTTTGTTTACAAAAGTAAATTTTGTTAAGTTCAGCACTTAGAAGAGCATAAAGCACAGAAAGACAATAAACATTGAATGGATAAATGAATGGAGATCTCATTTTATTATAAGAACTCTTAGTATGTAACCTAAGTGACAGTTCACTGTTCCCATAACTGTTACTCTTTTCCAGGAGGGGTAAGGAGGAAGGGCATGTGACTTATATCCACACCCTTAGTTGTCTCCTCCAAATTAGACCCTTAGTGTTCTGCGATGTTTGCCACGGTCCCAGCTCCTCGTGGAAGATGAGGTGCTGTTTCTTTCACACTATCTCCAGCAGAGAGAGGAAAGTGAGGCTCTTTACACTTTCTGTTATTTTATTATCTTTATTCTTCACAGCACTGTTGTACAGGACCATGTAAGTGCATCACTCGTGACTGCATTTAAAAAAAATTATACAGGTTTGATTCCAGACCATTGTAACAAAGCAATTATAGCAATAAAAGTGAGTCAAATGAAATTTTTGGGTTCCCAGTGCATATAAAAGCTATGTTGTGGTCCGTTAAGTGTGCAATAGCATTATGTCTAAAAAATGCATGTACCTGACTTTAAATACTTTATTGCTAAAAACATGCTAACTATAAGCTAAGCTGAACTTGCAGCTAGTGGTAATCACTGATCACAGATCACCATAACGAGTTTAATAATAATGAAGGTTTGAAATACTGTGAAAATTACCAAAATGTGATTGAAAGACACAAAGTGAGCAAATGCTGTTGGAAAAATGGTGCCCATAGACTTGCTCAATGCAGGGTTGCCACAAATCTTACATTTGTAAAAGAGGCAATATCTGTGAAATGCAATAAAACGAGGTATGCCTGTGGTATAGTCAGGAAAATATAAAAATTGTACATGGGGCGCCTGGGTGACTTAGTCGGTTAAGCGTCCAACTTGTGATTTCAACTCAGGTCACGATTTCCTGTATCTTGAAATTGAGCCCACGTCAGGCTCCTTGCTCAGCCCACTCAGCCAAGAGTCTGCTTGAGATTCTCTCCCTCTGCTCCGCCTCCTCCACTCATGTGCATGCGTGCTCTCTCTCTCTCTCAAATAAATAATCTTTTTGTAATTGTACATAAAATATTTCTTTTACCAGGGCACCTGGGTGGCTCAGTCAGTTAAGTGTCTGACTCTTGATTTTGGCTCGGGCCATGATCTCAGGGTTGTGGGATTGAGCCCCAAGTTCCCCAAGGGCTCATACCCCGCAGGGGCTCCATGCTCAGTGCAGAGTCTGCTGGAGATTCTCTCTCTCCCTCTCCTTCTGCCCCTCCCACTCATGCTCTCTCTCTCTCAAATAAATAAAATATTTAAAATATATATATTTCTTTTACCATAGCTCAGGAGAAAAGCACTTCACAGGAAGTCCCCTGTCTCTACCATTGACTCCTGTACACAGGGCTGTTCTTGTCTGTTGCAAAATAGCCACAGAGCAGTCACCCTCCTTTTCACTTCATCCCTTCCCCAAGGACTTGCTTTCACTCCAAGATCCATCACCTTTCTCCATTAGTTCATTTCTCAAAGTCTGAGAATAATACTGGGGTCTTTCAGCACGACTGTCCACCATTGTCCTTGGGACTTGAGTTCCTCGAAACAGTTCTTCATGGGCATGGCACATCATCTCCCCCTCTCTTAAGATATGCTCAAAATGTGGATTCTTCAAATTCTGTACTGAATAATTGACTGCCATTTCAATATCTCTCTTTCTCTTTCACATAGCTCCCAAAGACAATCATCTTTCTTTCCTATGAGATGGTTTGCTCCAAATCTATAAAGAGGAAATTAAATATTTACCCCCAAATTATCAAGGCTGGTCTCTCTCATGATAAAGTTAGGGTATTATTATAAAGAACAATGGGAGGAACACTGAACATGTATTTCTTATAAATCACAGCATCACAGCTGAAGTTTTGCCAGCCTTTGTCCTGGGCCCATTTCTCTATCAGTCAATTAAAAAAAAAAAAAAAAGAAATATAAACAAACAAACAAAAGAACAATGTTTACTTTTTCCTTTCAAATCTTCAAAGCTGTTCTATTGTCTTCTGGCTTTCATAATTTCTGATGAGAAGTCTGTGATCATTTTAATTAAATAATTAATTAATTTGCTTATTTATTTATTTTTTATTTATTGTGTCCCCCCCTCCCCTGGCTGCTTTTAAGATTTTTTTTCTTTGTCACTGTTTTTTAACAATTTGATTATGATTTGCCTTGGAATAGTTTTCTTTGTGTTTCTTTTGCTTTGGGTTCATTGTGATTCTTAGCTCTGTAAATTAATAGTTTTAACAAATTTGAAAATGTTTTAGCTATTATTTCTTCAAATATTTTTCCTGCCCACCTATCTGCATCACCAAATTACATGTATGTTAGACTCCTTGATACTATTTTATAGGTTACTTATACTCTGTTTATTTCTTTTTTCAGTCTTTTTAATTTATGTACTTCGTTTTGGATGTTCCCCATTGTTCTGTTAAGCTCCATGATCTTTTCTTTTGCAGTGTCTTATCTTCTCTTAATCCCATCCAGTGTGTTTTCATTGAAGAGACTGTATTTTTCAGTTTGAAACAGAAGTTCAGTTTGTTTGTTTTTTTTTATCTTCCATTTCTTTCTTCATTGTGCTTCTACCTTTTTGAACATCTGGATTATATCTAACTGGCTGTCTGCAATGTCTGTCATTTCAGGCTCTATTTCTTTTGAATGATTTTTCTCTTACTTATGTGCCATATTTCCCTGTTTCTTCTAGGCATGGTAATTTTTTGAATAAATTCAAGACATAAATTTTAAATTTTAAGGTACTAGATTTTATTGTATTCCTTTAGTTTTAGGCTTTACTGTGGCATGTAGTTAGTTGCTCAGAAAAACAAGTTTTCAAGACTTGTTGTTAAGCTTTGTTAAGGTAATGCAGGAGTAGCATTTAATTTTAAGATAAGATAATACCACTTCCAAGGCAATAATCTTGTAAAGACCCTATTCAATTGTCCAAGCGTTACAAGATCTTCCCACTCTTGCATGTGGAAACACAGGCTTCCATATCTTGTGGGAGCCCTGGGCATTACTCAGGTTATTGCTCCTTAGCTTTATTTTTCATCTTTCATCTCCACCTCAGTAGCTTCCTTTCACATGCTGAGTTGAGTACTCAGCCAAATACCCAAGGAGACCCCATTGTATTTCTCTGAAGCACTCTTGCTCTCTCTGTGAAACTCCCTCCTCTCTTTTATTCTTTCCTCCAAATTCTAGTCTCTTTAGCTTCCCTGAACTTTGATCTCTGACTTTTTAATTTAGTGAGACTGTCAGGTCTGTGTGGGTTTTCCCCTCCTTGCACAGTGACCTGGAGACTGCCATGGACGGTGAGTTGGAGATTTCAGGGCTCACCTCATTTATTTCTTTTCTCTTGGGAATGTCCATCCTACACTATAAATCTTACTCAGTTTTTGAGTTATTTAGAGCAGGACATGGCCAGAAGTGGAAGTTCCATTTTGTTAGAAGTTTGACAAAAATTTAGTTGTGAGAAATTCTGAACCTGAACACAAATTAGCAGAATTGCCTTTTCTTAGAATTGCTCTTTGATTCGAATCAGTAAATACTGTGTATGTTTTATTTCATAAACATTGATAGTCTCTTAGAATAAATTGTTTTTAGCACATGTAAGTAAGTAGGGTTAAATTTGCATCATAAATATTTGTGAAGAGGTGATGTGTTATCCAAGTGGGTTTTAACAACACCTGGAGTACTCAAGATTTCATTTGAAGTAAAATATAGACAAGATGTTTCAAGAATACTAGTAGGAAACAAATGTAATTATCTGAGATGAATATAAGATCATTCATATTCATTCAGTCACTCAGTAAATATTGAGGAGTCAATGGAACAATGGTTCCCACTGTTTGTGAATACTGTTGTTTATAAGGGAATACAGGCATGCAAACAATTTACTGTAATATGGTTAGATATAGTTGGATTATAGATAAGGACATTGGTGGAAGAATATGTAAAGTGCCACAGGAACACAGAGAAGAAAGAAAGCTGGAAAGGGCAGGAAACTGAATTTGTTTTATGGAAGTCATCTCTTTCCATCATCTATTCATTCATTCATTCATTCATTCATTCATTCATTACATTACATTCATAACATCATTTAGTCACCAGTACAGTGCTCTGCACTGATAAGTCCCAACAATACAATTCCTCCTCTAGGAGAGAAGTGGCTAATAAGCAATTGCAATTCAGTGCAATAGATGCTATGGCTGAGATGTGCACAGGGGACCACAGAAGTGGAGAGGAAGGGCACCTCATCATGGAAGCAAATGATCAGAGAATGCCTCCAGAGGAGACCTAGCCTCAGGTAGGGAAAGGGCTTGCAACAGAGAGCATCACCATTCAGGAAATGTTAGGTATACAGGGGGCTAGAGCATGGGTTTCAAAGAGGAGTCAGTGGGGAAGAAGCTAGGAGATAGATGGGGGCATATTTTCAAAAGGCTGTCTGTGTTCTCTTACGGCATTTTGAAGAAAAAAGGGAGCATTGACAGATTGTGTGTGTGTGTGTGTGTGTGTGTCTAAAATGAGGAATAGTGATAGATTAATGTTTTAGAAAGTTCACTCCAATGGTAGAATGAAGGATAAAGTGGAGCAAAGTGAAACTGGAAGCAGGAAGATTAATCTGGAAGCTGAGCTAATTTAGTAATCCAGGAAACCAATCATGAAGAACCACACTGAGGAAGTAGTGGAGGGATTGGAGATAAGACAACAAGGAGAGGGATCGGGTAGTATTTAGAAGATAAAACAAAACAAAAGGACTCAATGCCAAATTGGATATAGAGGGTAAAGAAGAGGATTGAGTCTATGATGACTTCCAATTTTCTGACCCATTGGACTAAATGTATTCATTAAGAGCTAGGACCCCTAAAAGGCATTACCTACCCCAAGGAGAGCTCAAAACAACCCACTGAGATGCAAGAAAAAATAGCAGAATTCCATTTATACTTTTCTCTGTATTTTTTGTTTCTATTTGTGTGTGTCTTGCAAAATACATAGTAAACTAATATACTAGTATGTGTATATACTTTATAAGTAAATGAATATCAGTATATTGTCGGCTGTGCTCAAATATTTCATTATCAGGGTGTATGATAGAAAAGTTTGGAGACATCTGAGTGAAGGACTACAAAAGGAATAATAAATGTGGTAGTTATGGGGAATTTGGTAGTAATGGGGTAGTTATGGGTAGTTATTTGCCTATGAACAGTTAGGCAGTAATTTCTAGTGGGCGATAAGAGTCTAGCTCAGACAAGAGCATCCAATAGAACTTTCTGTGATCATGCAAAATGTTCTAAAGATGTACTGTCCAGTGTGGAGACCAGTAGCCACATATCGCTATTGAGCACTTGAAATATGACTGGTGCAACTGAGGAACTGAAAATTTTCATTTTGTTTAATTTTAATTTATTTAAGTTTGAATAGACACATGTAGCTAAATGGCTACAATGATAGGAAGCACTGATCTAAAACTTTGAAGAGAGACCTTCAGCTCTCATTTATTGAGTGCTTCCACTGGCTAAGTATTTTATATACATTTCTAAGCAATTCAATCATCCCAGCTACCCTCTGAAGTAGACAGTATTATAAAAGAAAAGAGTAAGTTCTTCCTTACTCTATGCTTTTAATGGTCAAAGTTCATATTGTGAAGAAGAGCATACTTGCTCTGAAATATGTGTACATTCTAGGTATTCTCTCTTGGTAGATATTTATGCATCTTTCACAACCAAGTGCCAATTTTATATTTTTCTTTCAGGTGGTTTGCTCTGTTACAGATTCAAATATGTATTATTTTAATACTTTATAAATATGACTGTAGTCTTCTGGATCCATTACCAAAACAGGTAAGTGTTTTCAGAATTTTGAATATCATGGTTTTCAAATTTGCTATAAATTCTAACCCCTTGGTTTTAATTACTAGAGATAAGCTGCTAATTTCCTCACCTAGGCTTGATCTTAACAGGTGTCTTACATGGAACCGGACTGAGAAGATAACCCCTTAATTCCCTTACTTCTGAGTCTAATGTATATGCCATGGTAGCACAAGACCAAGACCAAATAGCAAAAAGCACCACTTACAGTGTTAAGAAGGTCCTCAGTGAATTCACCAATTTTGACACTGTTCCCTATGCTAAATAGGCATGGCCTTGATGTTGGGCTTGTTTCCCTAAAGAGGCATGTCTGTGGGTCCCAAACTGAACCATCAGTTTTAGAGGCAAGTCATAGCCCTTAGTCCATTTGGGAAGCAATGTCATGGAAGAAAAGAGCAGACAGTGAGCAACCGTAAAGACAGTAAGCAAGAATAAAAAGCCTGTGACCTTATTCCTACCGCTGACCATTGAATGGTCTAATCATTGAACTCCTCTGTGTTTCTATAGGTCTGCTCTCCTAGACCAGTGGCTTTCAAACTGGTGCAAACATCAGAATGACCTGGAGGGTGGGGGGCTTTTTAGAACACAGAATACTGGGCCCCGCCCCTAGAGTTTCTGATCTAGGACATCTAGGGAGGGGCAATAATTTGCATTTTTAACCAGTTCCCAGTGCTGCTGATGCTGCTGGTCTGGATAACACTCTTAGGACCACTGCCCTAGGAAATAGGGAGAGTGCAATTTAATTCCAGATGTTTGGAAGTCATTTTGAAGACTCTGGATAAAATGTGCTGTTTCAACTGAGGGTGAAGCTCAGAAGTTAAGCATTGCAATTTCAGGGCTATTCACATAGCATGTTGTGCTTTGATTTATTCTTGATATAATAAGGCTAGTGTATGGAGGGATAAATAAAACTCTTGGGTGACATTTCAATAGAAATTATGTAAGTGCTTAAGTGACACAGACAATATTGTATTACTCATAAATATGCACATTTCAGCACTTGCCCCTGATTTCTTTTGCACTTCTATTTTGAGTACACTAACTAGCAGTGCTGAAGAGCCCTCAAAATCCTACCATGAAAGGGAAATCAAAAAACCCTTCATAAAGGTTCTCAGCAAGTATAGTTTTATTATCAAAATGAAGAATAGGGCCAGGCATATACTCACAAAATACCAGTTCCTGGTCCACTGAGTTGGATGTCACAATTTTGCCCAGGACTGATTCCCCATCCAAATATTTTCCCACCAGTGAGAGGACACAAGAATGCCTTACCAGATTAGAAGGATGACATTTGTCAAAACCATGTAACAACTAACCCTAGCGATCAGTAATTTTGACCAGTTCCTTAGGCAAGATTTTGCCCAGTACTTTCTTCCTAGCTAAGAAGTGTATTAGTTATATTTATTATACTCTTATACACACATTCTATTTCTGTTTTGACGCTACTAAGAACATTTTTAAAGAAATATCTCAAAAAAAGGAAAGAAAGAAATATTATCTCAGTTTGTAAAAAGTGTGTAAGTGAATTCTCATGATCTCAAAGGGCATTTCATTTCATAATTCTTATTCTAGAAAGAGATGAATTGAAATTATGTAATTATTGGAATTGTTTTAATAAATTGTAAAATGGGGTGATCAAAAACTACAGGAAATGACCTTTGAATTGCCAGGCTCTTGTAGGAGCTGGGAGGGGATGTATTGCCTGGGCATGTTCTGAACACTCTTGTCAAGCACGGGCACATCTCTGGGCTTGGAAATCAGCTTCCTCAAAGAAATATACTTGTCATAGTAGCAAAAATCAAATGCTAGAACCCCCAATTTTAATTTTGCAGAAGCCCAGTGTTTTATTTTATCTCAAAGGGTCTTAGGAAATTAATTTTAACTCTCATTAAGAACCAAACACTAAGCAAATACTATAAAGCTTCCCAAGATCCATGACCAGGCAGCAGTGTCCAGATGCTGGCAATGGGGGCTGTTCATTTTGAAGCATTTATAAGACCAATTCAATTTTCTTGCAAAAGCAAGCACATTTTTGCTAAGATAGTGAAGTTTTGCTTGTTTGGTTGGTTGGTTTTGTTCTGTTTTGTCTTTTGGGGGGTCATGAATCCTTAGATAATCTCACGAAGCCTATGGATCCCTTTCTAGAGAAGTACATAACTTCTCATACCCACAAATTTGTTTGCAATTTCGAGGGGTCCATGGCAACCCTGCACCTCGTTCTATCAACTCCCCTAGGGATCTCCTTCTTAAGAAGCCCATGCTGTGCCTTGTTGCATTCAAACTTGACCATAGACTGATGACTTAAATTGGACTGATTGTCTTTTCCTTACTCTTGATCTTCCCCCAACCCTCAAGGCTGACAGAACAAATTGCAAATGTTCTGTTCCTTGAATGGAAGGCTAAAATTGATGCTTGACATTATAAGACACTTCAAGTCTTCCAAGCAAACACTCTAGTCTCTTAAACCTAGACTCCGTACTTTTAGAGACAATTACACTTGAATAAACCTTCGGTCTAAAACTGTTGGCTTATGTCTCTTAATTTCTATATTTCTTCTGCATTTCTGCTTTTAGAGTCCTCTCCATTTGGTGGGTGTCCAACAGCCAGAAGGACAATGCCGAATTGAATTTAAACAAAGAAAATGACATCTGTTGGGCCTAAAGAGTGCCAGGGCCTTCTGGAAGAGTGACTGTCCCCATCCACTAGCCTGGCAGCATCTAGCTCTGAGCTCTACTAAAACATACGGCTTAACTTTGTTTTAGGATTTAGCTCAAGAGAATGTAGGTAGGTGTGTTTGGTAACTTAAGAGTAGACCAAGAATCTGACATCACTCTCACCGATACGAGATCTGAATATATGGTTTGTAGAAAATGTTTAAATGATTTAAAGAAGAGGCATTTCTTAAGGAGTTGTAATTTGGTTTCGTGCATAACTGTATTAAAACTTTAATTAGAAATAATGCCTCTTGAGTGAAAATCTTAGTAAACTGTGAAGGCAACATACTTTAATTTCTGTTTTGAAAAAGGCTGAAAGTCTTAAACTCTAAGGAAATATTAAATAGTAATTTCTGGAAATTTTTTAGTTTTCTTAATATGATTCTCAACTGGCAATTGGAATTCTTAAGTTCCATTCATATAATTCTTTATGGTAAATAGGACTAGTGCTGAAACAATGAATAAAATGATAGCTTTCTAAGACCTGCGAAGACAGGGAGCATGTCTTACACTCATTCCGTGCTCAACTACACCTAGGACAACCCCTTCTGTATAAGGTTTATTCAGTAAAGGTATACTGATTGATATATTGATTTGTATTTTAATTGAAGGTGAAAGCACTCTTTTGATTCAAGGCATTAGTAGTTATAGGTGAAGAGGTACTATTTTTGTGGGTAGAAACACAAATAAAGTGATGTCAAGGCAAATAACAGCATTTGAATGTATTACTTAGGACTTCTGCCTGAAATATTTACTAGGAAACCCTGAAAAGAAATCCCGTCATGCCCCGGGGGAAACATACAACAGTAGTAACAGAGTGATCAGTGATGTCATGATTTGTCCTCTAATATTCAGTAAAATGCTGCTTGCCTCCTTTATTTCACAATAAATAAGCTTTGTGTGCATGTCGTCCTCTGGATTATTTGCTCCCCTGTGCTAGAATTATCCTGCAGAGTTGATAATGATTGCTTAGTCATCTATTTCCTACCAATGAGCAGATGACTCCCTAGGAGAAAATTAAGTACTCTGGAGTGCATTAACTCTTGCAGACTAATACAGAGATTCTGAAGCTTAGCTACCTGGTGCTTGCAGCTTAGCTTAGTGGGTTTGGGGTGTAGAGACTGGAGGGGCTGAAGGAAGCAGTTTAGAAGACCTGGCAGGGTTTGCTAAATATGGCAGGAGTGATCTTGGGGCAGACATGTCTTCCTGAACATCTGAGGCCCACAATGAAACACTGTATTTGCCTGTAATATGCATTTCAGCTGAATTTGCGGCCACTCGGGGCTAGTGTTTATCTCCATATTCTTGCTTGGTAAGGATAAATGTTAGCTGACAAGTTTATGCACTTAAAAAAGAATGCAGACGCAGGAGATCCATTGACCTTTGATAAATATAAAATAATGGTAAAAGAAATATACTTGGAGGTCCCATATCTTTTTATTTTCCTAGCCTGGGATTTTATATTATATGTCTAAATCACTACTCTGTCCAGGGTAAAGAGTTCAAAGTGGCTGGCTCTCCCCTGTAGTGCTGGTGTAGTAAGAACTCAGTATTGCCCTCTTCTGGTAGGTCAGGCATTCAGCTGGGGCAGTGACTATGTCTGCTTTGGTAAGAGCCTCCATCTTGTCAGCCATTGTCCAAATTTCCTTTCAGGCCTTGATCAACCAACCAAACATTTTGCCATTGCCCAAGAGTCTATGGATATTCTTACCTCAGACTATTTCTCCCTCTACACAAAGGACATGGCCAAGTATACTGCTCAAAACTCTGCCCAGTGGGAGAATTTCCCCTCACCACTGTCTTTTGGGGGCACTTCTGAATGTGGCTGAGTGGAGTGAAGTCAGTTTGCTCCATCATATCAAGCCAACCAATATGTCATCCGGGCCCAAGACTTTTTCTCTCCTCTCTGTCAACTAGTTATAGCCAGTGGGTCAAAGGTGTGAATTGAGAGAGATGCATCAGTCTAACAGAGGTAAGTGATGACCTGTTTATGTAACTGACTCCTGGACTTGCTCAAACCTGATCCCAAATGTACCATATTCACTGTATAATAGATTGCTGCTGCAATATACTTTTAATATACTTGGTAAATATAACAATACCCAGTTCATGATGCGCAGCTCTGGTCAAATATTCACTTGGCATGTTCAGGCATTGGAGGCTGACAAGTATGTCAGGAGTTGGTTTTCAAATGATAAATAGTTTTCAGCTGCAGAAGGCATGATCTTGCTCTGGAATCCTAGGGATGTATCCATCTATCTATTGGCCCATCACCACTGGTAGTGGTAGTGCTTGAAGTGCAGTCAGAGCTTGAAGATGCTACTGGTAAGCTGGCAGTGGAAGTGGGAGTAATCTTGCTCGCCACTGATGAACTTGAAGGCATGTTCTTGTAGGGTGGACTTGCATGGAGGCACAAGATGGCCAAGCTCTTATCCTTTGGACAGACTTTCAGAAAGTACTCTGATGTCAAGTGCTTGTCGAGATCTGGGTAGATATTGAACTTGGGTAGCCCAGTCTTAGGAGGCAGGTTATCAAAGTCACCGTGGTTCTTGTCCTTTTTCTACCTGAAGCCCATGTAAACACCGTAGAAGAACAGAGTTGCTGTTGCACAAGCAGTGTGCTGAAGAAGGCATAGGAGGAGAGAAACAGAGACACACACATAACATGGAAGGGGTTTTCCTGTGAAGGGGAGAAAAGGGAGAGTGGTGTTTGGAAGGGGACATGAAAGGATTTCGTTCCTTCTTTCCTTCCTTCCTTCCTTCCTTCCTTCCTTCCTTCCTTCCTTCCTTCCTCTTCTCTCTCCCTCCCACTGTCCCTCCCTTTCTTTTATACAAGGAAGACACTAGCATATTTCAATGTTTATGGGAAGAAGCCTGTAGAGAGAGATACATTGAAATAACAGTCAATGGAAAAGATAGTTTTTTGTGCCAGACCTCTGAGATGGGAGGTATTGGGATAGAGATCCTACACACAGGAATTAGCTGTAGACAGGAGGCAGGAAGGTGACATATTTCACTCTGAAAGAAACAAGGAGGAAGGACTCAGGGTAGAGGCAATAGCAGGAAATTGAGCAAATTCTCATTTGACGGGTTTTATTTTCCCTGTTAAATGGAAGGTGAGTTATTTTCTGAGAGTGAGGGGGTGGGAGAGGTGGGGGCAGCAATGACGGGAGGGGAGATATTCTCATGATGAAATGCCATGGCCGTTTTGTGTTTGAGCTCCCGAGGAACTTCCATCAGCCTGCAAGACAGCTGGAAAAATAAGATTAATGCAGATTGGGACTTTGACCATTGGAGGAATGTGTGGCAGGAGAGATGTGTGGTTGACAGTAACCTAAGGAGTATCAGGTGGAGAGGGAAGGAAGAGGAGGCAGAAGAAGGCCGAAAAGAAGAAACAGTCAGCTGGGGAACTTGAAGAATCAGTGTAGTGGGAACAGATAGTGAGAGACCCGGGAGGGCAGAAGGCTGTGGCCAGAGGACAGACTGTCTCAATTTAAAATTTCAGAGGACAAGCAGTTAGGGGTGGGATGACAGTGCTCGAGGGGAGGCTGACATGGTGGTCAGGTGAAGAGAATGGAGTTCAGAAGGTAGCCGTGATGGTATTTGGCATAGCCACCACCTTCTAGCTGTGTCCATATGGTGGAAGGGTGAAGCATCTCTGTGGGCTCCCTTATAAGAATAGTAATCCCATTCGTGAGGGTTCCCCTCCCCCCCATGACCTAATCACCTCCCAAAGGCATCACTCCTAATGCCATCAACTTTGGGCATTAGCATTGTACCATATGAATTTGTCGGCGATACAAACATTTAGACCATGGCAGGAAGTAACCCTCACAGTTGCTTACCTTTCTAAGTGGAGCTCAGGCTACGGATTTTGCTCTGATAGAGGACCCTGGACAGCACTCAAAAATGCCTCTCTGAGAACAAACTGGTGGTTGCCAGAGGGGAGGGTGATGGGGAGATGGGCAGAGTGGGTGAAGGGGAAAGAGAGATATGGGCTTCCAGTTATGGAATGAATACATCATGGGGATGAAAGGCACAGTATGGGGACTATAATCAATGATATTGTAAGAGTGACGGAACAGGACAGGTGGTAGCTAACACTGGTGGTGAG